ATCACTGTTTTGCTGCATTCAGGCACTCACCGTTTTATCTTCCTGACCTGCCAGGACCTGCCTGCAGCTACCTCTTGCTCTGCAGATTTCCCCACAACAGAGAGTTATTTCAGTGCATGCTCCCTGCATGGTTCCATAGAGCCAGGGAGTAGGGAAAGCACCAACTCCATGGAACAACACAGGTTGGTGAGCTAACCAGGCTGAAGAATGGTACAAGAGCCAAGGTCTGAAAAGATGAGCCACTAAGCCAGCTCCCAGCTTCCCACTTCCCTGGCATCCATTGGGGAAGAGGGCTCTGGGCCAGGCTGGGGCAGGAGCTAAGGTTTGGGGTGTGGAGCCAGGCCACCCAGAGGGTGTAATGAAAAATCCATTCTTGGACTGTTGAATATAAACAAATTCTACTGCAAGAATGTTTAGCTATGAGCCACGGGGGGATGGGAGGGAGAGTGAGTGGGAATGAAGGGCATTTCCCAGAGAGAGAGAGAGAGAGAGTAAATCAGGGTCAGCAACTTTTCAGAAGTGGTGTGCCGAGTCTTCATTTTTTCACTCTGATTTAAGGTTTTGCGTGCCAGTAATACATTTTAACGTTTTTAGAAGGTCTCTTTCTATAAGTCTATAATATATAACTAAACTATTGTTATATGTAAAGTAAATAAGGTTTTTAAAATGTTTAAGAAGCTTCATTTAAAATTAAATTAAAATGCAGAGCCCCCCGGACTGGTGGCCAGGACCCGAGCAGTGTGAGTGCCACTGAAAATCAGCTTGCGTGCCGCCTTCGGCACACGTGCCATAGGTTGCCTACCCCTGGAGTAAATTAATGCTGCTGTAGAATGTAGGAGTCCCATTGTGCCATGGAATGCATGGGGCCCTGACAATAGGGATGTTCCATTCTGAGAGAGTCCTTCACACCCTCCAAACTCCCAGTCTCCATGGGTATCTTGCCCCCCATCAGGTAATGTCTTCCCCCACAGGTAGCAGCCAAACGCATATATTCCACTCACAACCTCTGGAGCCGCTTTTTACCATTCTCTAGCACTAAGATAATGAGATGAAATTCCATAACATAGGAAATGTCTTCACTGCAGACTTAGTGTGTGACATACCAGGCCAGGAAACTCCAAAGGCCACAGTTAATGGGAAGAATCCCACCCACCCAGAAATCCTCCAAATGCCGATAGCTTAAAGAGAAGAAACACGCACTACTCTCAAATGTTCTTTATGGTCCAGATCTTTAGCTGGTGTAAATCAGCATAGCTCCATTGATGTCAGCACAGCTATACCCACTTACACCAGTATAGGATCTAACCCAGTGGTTTTCAACCTATTTACCGTTGTGAACTGCATATGTAGCCCACAATGTGTTATGTGGGCCACATCCAATACTACCTCTACGGCCCTGAGGATGTCACATGGGCCGCAGCTCTGTGCGGATTGGGCCACAAGCAGCCCGCGGGCCGCAGGTTGAGAACTACTGGGTGGGTTTTTTGCCCAGACCTGTTAGTCCATAATGCACTTCATCAAACTGTTAAAGGTTCTTTTCAGTGCAGCATTTTAGGTTTTGGCTACACTAGCACTTTTGTTGGCAAAACTTTTGTTGGTCGGGGTGTGTGTGAAAAACCACTGACATAAGTTTCACCATCAAAAGCGTCGGTGTGGACAGGGCTATGTTGGTGGGACAGCATCTCCTGCCGACATAGCTACCACTGCTTGTTGAGGGT